TGACCCCGAGACTGAACTTTTTTCTGGATTTCAATAGCTGTGGTCCTTGGAGAGTCTTTAGCCACTCAAACTCTCCTCATCGTGCATTAGGACGATATAGACACACGTCCTCTTCCAGGCAGTTTCGTAACATTTTCTGTTGATTGGAAATTCTTAATTATTTCCCTGATGGTGGAAATGGGAATTTTCACTGCTCTAGCTCTTTTCTTAAAGCCACTTCACTAATTTGTGAAGCTCAATTATCTTTTGCTGCACATCAGAAACATATTCTTTGGTTTTTCTCATTGTGATGGATGATTAAGGGAATTTGGGCTTTGTTTTCCCTCCTATTTATATTTCTGTGAAACAGGAAGCCATGGCTGGATAATTTCATGTTCATAATCACCCTGGAGTGCTTAAAATTGTGAATATGAATGGGAATATACTTCAGAGATATTTTAATCATAAGAATTTCTAGGGGTGCCAATAATTGTGTCCAACATGTATTGGAGAAAAACATTTATTTCATAATGATATTTCCCCCCATTTTAAATTCTTATTATCCAATGAAAGGTTAGATTTTTGTGAATTTTTTAAATAAAAGATCAAATGGATTAACAATGCAGATTAATTTTCACAACCTTCTTTGTTCATATTTACCAAGGGTGCCGTATATATAATAAACATATATAAAAAATTGTGTAAATAAGTTGTAGCAGAACTTTTGCATTGTTACTGTAGACTGTCAGCCAAACGCCTTTAAATTTTTTTGTGGCTGAATAAGAGAGAGACCAAAGGAGGAGGGGAAAAAGGGAGGAGAAAAAACTCTCAGTTTCGGATCAGTGAACTGTATGAGGATTTTCCAGACGGTTTTATTGCATGTTTTTCTCTGCCCCATCCTGTCACAGATATCATTAAAGAGCAGTCCAAAGAGCTGAGAGGCACCCAGAGACAAATCACTAGAGACAGAGCTGCCCTGGAGAGACAGGAGAGGCAAATGGTAAGTGGATCAAAGCAGTTTCATATCAGTTGACTTCAATTCTCAGCGTCCACCTCTTCCCTTCTAGCACCATGTGTCGCTGCTTATGCCAGAAAGTCCCTCTTTGATTTCTTTTTTATTGCATCAAAGAATAGAGTTAGATAATGAATTTATTTTTGATCATCCTGTTAATTGCATTTAGAAACAGGTAGATTACGTGGCCTAAAACAGTTAAAAACAGTTCATGGCTCAATACTCATGAAGATGACATGAGTGTTCATGTCGGCCCACCACACTGTTAAGAATCCAACACTCCCGCTCACTCCCTCCATTTACGTTAATTGTTTCTATGTAAACATAAAAATGTGCATAATTGTTTCCCAAGAGGGGGGTTCTTTTTTCTTCATCTTTATTGTAATTAGACATGGATATGCTTTGTTGTCTATTTCATTTTTTTAAATGACCTATATTAGAAGATAGCTGCAGGGCGGTCATGTGCCGCTGCTTTAATATCCCACACGCGTTGAAAATCTGGGGTACAATTTAAAGAGTTTTTGGATGGTGAGGAAATGATAAAAACGTTTGAGTTTTGGGTGAACTGTTTCTGTTTTTCACCCCTAAAAAAAAACTGCTCCAGATGGCGTCATATCTGTCATCTGCTGAATAATTATTAGTCTTCTGAAGTGGGTCATACTTTTCATTATCTGGTTTCTGAAAGGGTTTTGTTAAGCACATCAGTCTGTCACTTTTATTCTAGTTTTTCCAATTCATTGTGCTGCCTAGTGGCTGACATGACAATAAAACATCTCTAATAGGCCTGACGCTACAGCTTCATCTCACTCAGCTCTCTATACATGAATATTTATAATGATGGCATATCATTTTTACCATGGCGAAACAGTAAAAAAATGCCCTATTCCAGTCATATTTTGTTAGTGACAGGTAAACATAGGCAATATAGACAGAAGCTGCCATGCAACATCGTTGTGTGTTAAAGTAGGACAGTGCTGTGTGTGTGTGTGTGTGTGTGTGTGTGTGTGTGTGTGTGTGTGAGCGCAGTTAATGTGGCTGCTTGTGTTTTGCTTAGCAGGCATCATGTGAGGTCAGAGCAGCACCTGCTCTAATGTGTGTGTCATTAGAGTTCATTCTGTCTAATGTGTCTGTTTAGCTGATCAGCATGAGTTTACCTGAGAGACTAACATTAAGAGCACACAAGAGAAAACAGGATCTGCTGAGGTAAATGTTAAAAAGAATATGCCTGGGATTTACATTATGGATTTAATGGTCTCCATCAGGTGATCACATGTTAAATTCTGGAAGTGATTGACTTTCCAATAAGCTTACATTTCCACTTACCAGATGCTAGTTAGGACAGGGTTTTTATTTGAAAAAATATTTGTCTAGTCTCACAATATTGTCTAAATACATTGTAAAAAGAGAGTTGAATAGTATTTAGTGCTGCACATGGAGTGTGTTGTAGTGTTGCAGGCTTTAATTCTGACGGGCCACCCTCACTAACACACTCTCATGGGAGATCTCTGCAGACACACACACTCAGTTTTCCCACATTACATCTGAAAAAACACCACAAAACTGCTTGAAGTTCCTCAGGGCAGAGACCTGTTTTCAGACATTTACTAATGTAAAGAAACACAGACCTCTGGGTCTAAACAAGTAAACATGGCACAAGTTGGTCATGAACATGTCTGGGTGACTTGTTGTTCTGTCTTAGAAGTCAAAACTCAGTTTTGTTCCAATTACATGTAGAAACACCCATTGTTCACTGGATGTGTTTATTCTTAACAGGAAATGGAAATAAAAAAAATGGCCAAGACTGGAAACCGAGAAGCCTGCAAGATACTAGCCAAACAGCTGGTACAGCTCAGAAAACAGAAGAACCGAACCTACGCCGTGAGCTCTAAGGTCACGTCCATGTCCACGCAGACCAAGGTCATGAACTCTCAGATGAAGATGGCTGGAGCCATGTCTACCACAGCGAAGGTAAGATGCTCAGACTTCCGAATGGACCTGCATGACTACCAAATTAGTTATTCCATTGCTGTCCATGGAGGACTTTACTGGAACCTCCTCATTACAGGGCTCTAGTTCTCCCCCACCCCCCGATGACGGCTCTGTATTATTCACATGTAGCCTGATGTTCCCTGGAAGTGCTGGAAAAACAGAATCCCTTATGTAGCGAAGAACTTCAAAAGAATCCTTAAACAGGGTTTAATTATAATGTCGTTGAGGGGCTCCTTACTTCACTGCTATTATTGTGACCCAGTTTATATAGTTTCTGCACTACATTTAGAAAGAACTCATATCAGGGCAATCTTTAGGGCCTTTCGCACTGCGGGAACCTTTTCATAGTACCAGAACTAATTGTGGAACTACCCACTTTTTGGCGTTTTCGCACCGCCGGAACTGGGTGCGATTTTAGTACCGGACTGCCTTTTTCGAGAACCAAATTAGCTCCTACTCCGGAGCAGGGTCTAACCAGCACAACTGGTACTAATCGTGACGTAAGTAGACATTGATTGGCCAAACGCGTATGAAAACGCCCTCACCCGCCATGATTTAAAACGCTGTGTAAACATACTGTAAACATTGTGTCAACTTATTTCGCAAGTATGGAGAACAGCGATAGATGGACGGACGCTGAAGTGCAGGCACTTGTAGCAAATGTAGCACTGCCAGTTGTCGTTGGAGATTCTTAGTCCTCCTTTCCGTTCTTTCAATCGCTTTACGTATACGTCGACATTCCATGTCCATTATTGTGAAACCCGCGAGACACAACAAAAACACAGCTCCGATCACAGCGTCCTCCATCCTCCTGTTGTTTATGTTTTTCTTTGTTTCTGTTGTTGAACGCCGCGCACAAATGACGTCGCTGTCGACCGGCTTACGTCACTTCTTAGTACACACTGTCGGTGCGAATGCAACCCTTTAAATGGTACTGGGAAATAGTTCGCGCAAAATTGTCCCAGTACTTTAGTACTGTACATTTAGTTCTGGAACTAAAGCGGTGCGAAAGGCCCTTTTATGTGTTGATTCACACTGTCCTTATTACTGTTCATTTAGGGGTTTTCTATGATGCTTGAACAGAATTTGAAATATGATACATGTTGTTCCTCTATGGCACTTAGAGCAGCTGAATTAATTGGCGTATCTATTTTTTTTCAATAAATGTGATTGCAATCAACCAGAAGGACATTATAAAAGCAATTTAAATGGTGGTTTTATTTGTTTTAAGCAAGCTCTCTTAAAGGGATAGTTCACCCAAAAATGAAAATGTGATGTTTATCTGCTTACCCCCAGGGCATCCAAGATGTAGGTGACTTTGTTTCTTCAGTAGAACACAAACAAAGATTTTTAACTCAAACCATTGCAGTCTGTCAGTCTTATAATAGAAGTGAATGGAATCACAGCTTTGAGAGTCAAAAAAACATACACAAACAAAACCAAATTAAACCCTGCGGCTCGTGACGATACATTGATGTGTAAAGACACGAAACAATCGGTCTGTGCAAGAAACTGAACAGTATTTATATCGTTTTTTACCTCTGATGCACTGCAATGTCTGAACTGTCCTGAGCGCGTCCTCGACAGCCGGCACGTCTTCTTCTTCTTGCTTTACGGCGGATCGCAGACTAATAAGTGCATTACCGCCACCTATGTCTCAAATGGACCATTGACACTCGTTTGAGTTAAAAATCTTTGTTTGTGTTCTACTGAAGAAACAAAGTCACCTACATCTTGGATGCCCTGGGGGTAAGCAGATAAACATCAAATTTTCATTTTTGGGTGAACTATCCCTTCAAGGACTTGTTTAATAAGATCTTACCAGAAGTTTTTTAAATGTTTATATGTATATAATATAAAGATTTTATTACATTTAATTTTTGTGTAATTTTTTTTATTTTTTTATTTTATGAACTAAAATGAATTATAAGAGAATTTAAGCAGAATTTAACCTCCTCACTGGAATTCAAACCTGAGCTGTTAAAACACATTATAGCATTTTAAATTGTTTTTATAAAGAAGTTTTTTCTCAGCTGGTTTTAATTTTTCTGTGTTCTGTTTTTATTTCAATTTTAGTTAACATTTTGGTAATTTGGTTGTGTGTTTTTGTTATTAGTTTTTTGTGTGTTTATCTGTATAGTTTTTATTCATTTTAGTTTCAGTTTTAGTTATTTCAGTACATTAAATTAAACTAAAATGAAAATATGAATGATCCTTTACTTTTTAGCTGAAAAAAGGTTTATGTTCTTTTTTAAATTTTATTTCAAGTAATTAGATTTTTTATTGTTTTGTTTTTTGTTTTAGTTAACTATAATAACCCTGCTAAATACTTTTTAAAAAATGTAGTTAAGATAATGTATCGATCATTAATATATGCAAATACATTTCCATCAATTTTATTTTATACAACTCTATATGTAGTTGGCATAAAATAAAGTCTGTACAGCACAGCTTTTGCCATGCGAATAGTCTCATTTGTTCACATGGCATTAAAATCTCAACAACTTGCCTGTGTCTTAAGCCTAATTGTTACACTTAAAATTTGGCATGAGATGGTTAGGTTTATTCATTTTATGCTGGAGACACTATTTTGTTGAATAAGAAGACATGCAAACACACAGTGTGCACTTCTAAAGCACATCTTATCTTTACCAATCACTACAGTCATGTAGTGGCATCACATGAAATGCAGTTTCAGCCATTTAAATTCAGTCTCTGACTGCTCATTGATGGGGTGTTGTTTTTCTCACTCATTTACAAGCCGTACTCCCACAAAAAAAATTCAGTGTTTGTGTATCCAATCCATATTGTATGAGGAAGGAAGCTATTAATATTTCCTCACCTGATTGTTAATGCATCATGGGATTTGTAGTCAATCATAAGAAGGTAGCTGGTGTAATAGATGATAGATGAGATGGGTGATAATGAGGCTGTGTGTAAATAATTCTCTGTAATCAGATAGGACTCTTCCTGTGTGTCTGCCCTGCCACAGTCTAGAAGCCCAGAGGGACAGTAAAACACACTTCTCTCCATGCGACCTATTTTTATGTTTTGTGTCATCTACTTACTGTACTCCCCCTTCTCACCAAATGGTATGAAGTTGAAATTTATGTTGAGCTGCATTCAAAATGTATTCTTCCGTGGTGGATTTTTGTCAGCGCTTGTGTTATTTTTATTACCGTTTTGTGCACCGTAAGGATGCTCTATTTATTCTCTGGGAGTGTGATGGATGGCTTGAACTCTTTCTGTCTTTCAGACTATGCAGACTGTCAATAAAAAATTGGACCCCAAGAAGACGCTACAGACGATGCAGGACTTCCAGAAGGAGAACTTAAAAATAGGAATGACGGAGGACATGAGTAAGTTCTTCGACGTGCCTGACACAAATTAGAGGCTGGTTTTGTGGTTCTCAAATGATGGATCTGTTCAGGGGAAAGAAATGATGCTAAATGATATACTGACTATGTATTATATATTGAGTTGCATTGTATTTTTTCAATTAATCTCACCATATAATTACGCATAGTCAGGATAGCCAAATAAATAGGCTTATCAGCACTTCCCATAATTAACTTCACATCATAAGCTATTCATCCAGACAACTTTGGCACATTTTATCTATCGCCTGGCTGAAGCAGCCAAATTAGGTAGATGCCAACCTGGACAGATTGTGTGACATGCTCTCATCCTCAAAAACCATGTATAAAACTGCATAAATTAAAAGAAAATATGAATCAGACTACATTGAAACTGGCTCACTTGCTACAAGGGCATAGTTTGTGCACACAGTGAGCTCTGTGCAGTGAATTATTGGCTACAGACAGCATGAAACCATCCAAATTCGTTATTGTGCAATTAACAATTTTGGCACTGTGTTGGGTTGCCACCAGTTTTCAGCAGCTAGACCTTAACGGCAAAAGTCCTAGTCCACATTGTAGCCAAAAACTGCCTGTTTAGACAGGAAGAGATAGTTTGAGTGTCACGTAAGTGACCAACTACAGTTTTTTTTTTTAGTTTTTTTTTATGTGTCGTATTTTGTTTTTATGTGTCATTTAGGGTGGATTTTACAGAAAATGCTAAAAAAAAACTGTGGATAAAATCATTTCAAATTTTCCAAATTAATAATGACTTAGGATAATAAAGAATAAGGAGACTGAATTAATTAGTAAAAAAAAAAGATGAAAATGAGTTGCTAGTAAGTACTTCAAACAAAATTCTAAATATCTTTCAACAGTTTGATGCCACTAACCTGAGATCCTCAGAAGCTCTCGTTCAATCTCTTACCTTGCAAACAAACTTGGTTTCCAGTTGGATTAATAAACATTAAAGGGCTAGTTCACCCAAAAATTTAAATTCTGTCATTATTTACTCACCCTCATGTCGTTCCAAACCTGCGAGACCCTTCGTTCATCTTCAGAACACAAATTAAGATATTTCTGATGAAATCCGAGAGCTTTCTGACCCTGCTTAGACAGCAATTCAACTGACATTTTCAAGACCCAGAAAGTAGTAAGGACATTGTTAAAATAGTCCATGTGACATCAGTGGTTCAACCTTAATTTTATGAAGCTGCGAGAATACTTTTTGTGTGCAGAGAAAACAAAAATAACGACTATTCAACGATTTATTTTCTTCCTTGTCAGTCTTCAATGTGAGTTCACAAGAGTATCACGAAGCATGTGTGTGCATTCCTCTGCTTGTAAACAAGCCGCAGCGCATGCGTGTTCTACATCAGCCGCACCACATGCATGAATGCGCAGCGGATAATGCTACGAGAGAGAAGAATTGTTGAATATAGTCGTTTGTTTTGTTTGCGCACAAAAGGTATTCTCGTACCTTCATACAATTACAGTTGAATCACTATGTCCTTACTACCTTCTCTGGGCCTTGAACGTGGTAATTCCCTTGCTGTCTATGAAGGGTCAGAAAGCTCTTGGATTTCATCAAAAATATCTTGATTTGTGTTTAGAAGATGAAAGAAGGTCTTACAGGTCTGGAAGGACATGAGGGTGAGTAATTAATGACATAATTTTCATTTTTGAGTGAATTAACCCTTTAATTCCATCTGGATCCTAAAACAAAACCAGTTCAGACTCACTGGTCTAGAGATTGGGATAGTCTGTCAAATTTCACCAACTTCTACAACTTTCTGTTCTCAGTCAACGATACACTGGATGAGATTTTTGATGAATCGGGTGATGAGGAAGAAAGCCAGGACATCGTGAACCAGGTGCTGGATGAGATCGGCATAGAGATCTCAGGAAAGGTAAGACGCTTCCTTTCTGTCTGCGCTGTTCTAGCGACGGCCCCAGCGGCGGCTTTCAGCAGATGGCTGGACTCTGGCTGTGATTACTGTAGGCCTTTCTTTAGATTCATGAGATGCAGAATCATTGTATCTGATTGTAGCAGATGTGTATTCCCTTGGGCCAAAATTTTATAATCATATTACCATATTCCACAGATTCTTTGTCCTGTTTTTCCCCAAATAAATAAAGCACAAATAAAGTGCTTGGGCTCTGTTTCTGTAGAACATTTGGGAAGAACAATGATCATATTTGATTGGCGCCACATCTATTACCCAAAACAACAATTAAACGGAGGCTTATGCTGGTAGAGTTGAAATCTGCTCAAATAAAGGGCTACAAATGTTATTGTTTCCGCAGATGGAAAGAGCCCCCTCAGCAGGAAAGATCCTCCCTGGCGCCTCCCCAGCAAAGTCTAAAGCGGCCACCATCTCAGACGCCGAGATCGAGAGACAGCTGAAGGCTCTGGGAATGGACTAAATCTCTTCACCCTCCACACATTTGTACCCACTGCCACCAAAGGACTTCCGAGTGGGAAAAGGGAGTGTCTAAGTAATAAATAAAGGAAGAATGTCAACAAACATACTCTTATTGGAGTATGGCAGTGAGTTACTGGAGGAGATTCTGTGGTCAGATATATACAGCAGATTTAGACGTTCTGACAAAATGCTCTCCAAATCTGCTGCACATATTTAAACGTGAAGGATGTCATTTTTGCACCACTAGTGGCTTCAAATGGAGCATGATTGGGTGGGGCGGGGCTATCTGTTTGGGCGACCAATAGAAAATTAGGGGGCGGTGATATTGAAAAGTTAATGGCCAGAATTGCATACTTCCCTACTTTATAGTATGTAAACAGTAGTATGTTCAAATTCACAGTATTCATAAAATAGACTAAATTTATCCGGGTGACCTACTACATTTGTCAAAATTCTGAAGTGCACATCTCATGGACATTTTACTATCCCATTTGGAGTGGATTTGTGAATAACAATGTAGTGGCACAACTGACACTGGTATGTCGCATGACAATGATAACATGGTGAATATAGTACATCTGGATTGCATTCACACTATTAGAGCATACTTTTGTAACAGTGTTTGATTCAAAAATTACACACTTTACTTTTAACTTTGAAGGGTGCTATTACTGTGACCATGAATTGTCCTTTAAATCCTTTAAATGTACACAAACATTGGAAGATTTGGTACTCCATGGAATTCCCATGTATTATAGGGCTAATCGTCTCATGTCATGTTAGTTAAAAGATGCTCATTTTGTGTATTTTCATGTCTTTTTAGGTTATGTATGACTTAAGGAAGTAAGTTACGGGAAAACAGTTTTCCTTTGCAGTGAGGTTTGGTATAAACTCTTGCATACATACAAATCATATCTTGCATGAGAATCTTTGTCGATATGATAAAGTCTTTACTTATCAACCTTGAAACAACAGTAGTTGCTGAAAGTCAAAGTCAGTCTGCAGATTTCAGGCAGTCGGAGTTGACCGATTTCACAGAAAATCACATAGTGTTTGATGGGCACAGACCACAGCTTTTGAGCTTCAGACCATGAGTCCATCCAGTTGGAGGGGATCAGACATCGTGTTTGGATTGTATTCCAGCCTTTAGAAGAACTGCAGTATCAGTTTTTCTTTTCAATTTCATCTGTATGTACTTCTTTAAAAAGGTTTTTTTTCATTCTAACCAATAGTGTGTATATAAATGTACAGTTTATGCTTTGATTTGATTTTCTAATTAATAAAGTACCTTCATATTTGTGAATAACTGATGTTTAACGTGTACTATAACCAAATTTGTACAACCATTAAGAAGCCAGCTGTAAATAAGAGGGTGGCCTGTACTGATCTGTTAGTAGTCAAAATGTTATGAACCTCTACAATTGTTCTAATGGCCTTTTAGAGCATTTCATTAAATTAGACATCATTAGTCATAATCATAATGAAACATGGTTTTTAAATAAGGTCTTAATGAGTTTGTAGAGTGACCTTTCTTAAGTGAACCATGGTGCAGTCCATTAATTTTAAAGTAATTTAATGTGGTGTGGATGTGTAACTGCTGCAAGCGTTGGGACTGAAAAACCTGTCAAGTGCAGAATCTGCTGAAATACATGTGGACAAATCCATAAATTTGTTTTTATGTATGATTTTTTATTGTATGATTGTTTTTTTTATGTATGATATATACTGAAAATGTCAGATCCTACCAACATTATCCCAGAGTATACTGTATTTATTGCATTATTAGATCACATGGGGCGGTAAGGGATGTGTTGCTGACACAGTCAATGGCAAGAGATGATGATCATATAGATCATCAGCCATATCTGCTGAGAGCGCTTGTGTGCAGGTGAGAGGCTGTGCTGCCTCATTATAACACTGTCAGGAACAATGTAACACTGTAAATAATCCCTCAGTAAGACCCAGCAGAGCTCTGATGATTCCACTGCATGCAGTAGACAACAAATTAAACACATGCCACATACACACATGATAGATGCTTAATTCTCTCCAAACGCAATGATGTTTGATTATATCTAATAATCTGAATCACAACACACTTACCATGTTGTTGCAATTCATGTGAACAGATTGCTGCAGAGCAGCTAATGACTTGCAGGATTTTATTATAATATGACAAACCAAGCATGACCACATTATTAGTCATTTATTTGGACAAATTTATAATTTCTTTACAAATTACATCACAAAAAGGTTTGCTTGCTTCATACAAAACTCTACAGTGCAATGACACATTTCCAGGATATGCTTTCAGAATATTTGCATATTTTGCTAATATATTAAACTTTGATTGGAATGCATTTAAATATATTGATGAATAAATTATTTTAAATACTTAAAAAAAAAGTATCAAGATGCTTTTCTGCCCTTATAAGCGTAAAGGTAAAAAAAAAATCACATGTATCCCATTTGAGAACAAAAACACTTTTATAAAAATAAATGTGAAAAATGTTATATCTTTTAATAGCTCAAGTTTAAATTTCAGTGAAGGGGTTGCTTAAATCGTCTTCTTCATTAAAGAAATGAAATCAATTAAAATACAATTTGGACACTAATTTATAAATGTCACTGCATTACAACTTTATTTTAACCTTTTTAAACAAAACATTTAACAAACTGTGTCAAAGTTTTAAAAAATTAAATAAAAATTGTATTTGGACACTAAAAGCACCCCTTAAAATCTATGAATGTCATTATCTGACACAATATCAAACCAGTTGGCATTTATTTTAACCTGTTCAAATAGAACATTTAACAAAAGCCATCAGAAATTTGTCGGGATTTAAACGATAAAACTGGATGTTCATTAACAAGAGAAAGTATAATGTGGCACTAAGTATTTGTAAAACGTTAGTGGATGAATTAGTTCATGTGATTCTCCACACCTCTAATTGCTCTGATAGGACTCCTGTGTGAACTTGAGGAGAACTGACTTCATACATCTTCTAAATACACCTAGAGACCTTTTTCAAACTGGTCACTTGGTTTGATATTTGATGATATAACATTCAGACATTTTTAAGTGTGTTCAAATACTTTTTTGGGGTCACTGCAGCATATGCAGTACTCCTGCTGGTGAATCAGTACAATAAACCCACTCACTGCCAAAGGTTGGTGTTGGTTTTTTGCCTGTAGATAATCACACATCAGCATTGCTGAGACCCCGGATCTTCAAGGTCTACAGGCTGCGCTCTCTTTGGCCATGAAGGAGCTGTGGTGTAGGCTGGTTTTGACCCTCTTCTCCCTCTGCCGGCGGTTACAGAACCAAACACGCACCACCTCCTTCTCCAGATGGAGACCCTCCGCCATCCACACAATCTCCTGAGATGATGGCTTACTCTTCTCCACAAAATGCCTTTCTAAGGCTTCCTTAGCCCCAAGACTGAGGGAGGAAATTAAGAACTAATTAGGTATTAATTAGAGGGAGATGCTGATGGCTTTTGTTTTCTGTGTAGGTCAGATTCCCCATTTACCTGATGATTGTTCTCCGTTTGCGTTTACGCTCATGCATGCCCATCTTCTCATTAAAAAGAGCTGATGGGAGTCACAAATTAGAGTAGTGATTCTGCCATCTTATGTTTTCATTAAAAACTCAGGGATAATGGTAGGATAGTGGTAAATAAATAAATAACTGATCTCACTCAGGAGTGTGTTGACTCACCACCGGCTTGCTCAGCCTCCTCCAGCCACTTTGCCAGGATGGATTTGAGCTTGCAGGCGTTTTTGAAGCTGAGCTGCAAGTTCTCGAAGCGGCAGATGGTGGTTTGGCTGAATTCAGAGCCGTGCACAGCCGCCAGGGCTTCACCCACATTGGTCTGTGTGTAACCTGTCAATCAAAGCTAAAAGTTAGAAGTTTTAACTTGAAAAAGAAGTGTGCTTAATTGTACTGATTGTGCACTTTTAATGTACTTCAAATCTTCAAGATTATTCAAAAAAAAAATTATTTGCAGCCAATATAATCCTAGCTAACAGGGAACATTCTCAGAACTATGGCTTCATGTTCTGGCAGTGTTCTCTCAAGGTTCTTCCAGTAAACTTAAAGGGATAGTTCACCCAAAAATGAAAATTCTGTCATTAATTACTCACCCTCATGTCGTTCCAAACCCGTAAGACCTTCCTTCATCTTAAGAACACAAATTAAGATATTTAAATGCATTGTGCTCTCCTGAAAGCTTGGCGAAGACTGACACGGAAGAGAAGATATTGCTGAATAAAGTTGTTTGTTTTTTTTTCTTTGCGCACAAAACGTATTCTCACAGCTTCATAAAATTAAGGTTGAACCACTGATGTCACATGGACTATTTTAGCAATGTCCTTACTACCTTTCTGGGTCTTGAATGTGTTAGTTGCATTGTTGTCTATGCAGGGTCAGAAAGCTCTCGGATTTCATCAAAAATATCTTAATTTATGTTCTGAAGATGAACGAAGGTCTCGCAGGTTTGGAACGACATGAGGGTGAATAATTAATGACAGAATTTTCATTTTTGGGTGAACTATCCCTTTAATAGAAATTTAATTAAAAAAATGTTCATTCAAAGTTATCTGGTCTTTAGCAATGTTAACAAAACATTAGCACAAAAGAAAGTTATTTCTACTATATTATACTATAGTATATTATACAAGAACTTTATTTATACTATATATTATTTATAACCATGCAGTTTTTCTAAAACATTTTAGTTGGATGTTCATATAATGTCTTTTAAACTACTTGCTACTTGTTTCAAACAACATTCAAAAGTAGCGTTCCCATAATGTTTCAACAAATCTAACATTCCTATAATATTTTCTCTAATGTTCACATAACCAAGAAAAACATTTTTAAAACATTAAAAAAAATGGAAGTTCTGAATGTTCTGACAAACTTAGTGTGAACGTTAGCAAAACTAGAACATATTTTGCCGGTTGCGATATTAATTAAATAAAAAGGTTTATGTTTCTAAACACACGTAAATACAACTTTTAAAAAGTGCACTTTGTAATAATGTCAAATTAAAAGTTTTACTTTAAAAAAATTTGACTTTCTGCATCAAATCTTGTTTTCTTTTGCAGATTATTCTGACCAAGAGTTGCCAATTTAGGCAGAGAAGGTTGCATTTCTAGTAGTATAAGTCAAGTGTTGCACAGTTACACCAGACACCAGCACACGCTGCAGTCATCGTCCTGGATAACTATTTTTCTCTGATTATACATTATTTATTCTGACTGACTCTGAACTTTTAAAATATGTGCACTTTGTTGTTGTATTTGCCAGGACTCAGCGGGCGTGAGAAACACTGCGTAGGCCTACACGTGAATGTCATGGGGCTGAAGGTTTGGATTTATAGCACAGGGTGTACCTTGCAGTGAGTTGGCTCCGTTGACCATGTTGGCATGAGGCGCGCTGCAGGTCTGCAGGATGCGGGTCTGGGAGATACTGGCAGAGAGCATTTCCTGTGCTGGAGACACAGATTATACATCATTACCACACACACACACACACACACACAGACACACGTCTGGTTTGCTATTCTTGTGGGGACTCTCCATAGGCGTAATACTTTTTCTACTGTACAGACCGTATATTCTATTGCCCTACACCAACCCTACCCCTCACAGGAAACTTTCTGCATTTTTAGATTTTCAAAAAACTTCATTCTGTGTGATTTATTAGCTTGTTTACCCGTGGGGACCTCAATTTAGGTCCCCACCGTGACATGAGTCCCCATGAGTCTGTGTGTATTCAGGTTTAAGTCCCCACCAGAATAGAAAAACGGGTACACACACACACACATTTGTTTTTGTGAATTATGGCGACTTTTCCATAGACTTCTATTACTTTTATACTATCCAAACGATATTTTCTAAACCCTAATCCTAAACCTTACCCCTTGCAGAAAAGTTTGCATTTGTTACACTTTCAGATAAACATCATTTACAATTTTTTATATTTTTTTTCCCCTCGTGGGGGCCGCAGGTATTGTCCCCCACAATGCCAAAAATTTTAGGTTTTACTATCCTTGTGGGGACATTTGGTCCCCACAATGTAGCATAAACAAGTACACACACACAAGCTAAATTCTGTATTTCTGTGTGTTTATGATGTACAGTAATGCATATGCACAGAAGAACAATACTTGAATCACTTGCGTAACTTGTGCGTAACTTGACGTACCTGCCATCATGCCGTAGGTGGTCTGCTGGTTGCCATAGTGACATGGGGGCATTGGGTAGTGCAGGCTGGCTGACGCATTGCCCAAAGCAGAAGTGGACAGGTGCATATGAGAGCGTTTGGACGACTGGACCAGTGGCAGACCTGAGGGGAATAAACCAGACACTTACGTATATCTGTGATACATCCTAGACAGACAGACAAAAAGGCAAAAAAATGCCTTCGCTGTTTCTTTCTTTCAAATTCAAAATTGTTTTATTGGCATGACTGTGTGCAATATTTGCAATATATGTGCAAAAAACAACAATCTCAAAAATAATAGAAGAAAACATTAAAACGTAATTTAAACTTAAATAAACAGTGTATTACAGTGTACAAATTAGAACGTGTGAACATTTGATACCACAGTGTTTAACATGTATGTAATATAGAGTTGTGGTCAAAATTTTACATACACTTTGCAGTATCTGCAAAATTTTAATTATTTTACCAAAATAAGAGGGATCATCAAAATGCATGTCATTTTTTATTTAGTATTGTCCTGAATAAGTTATTTCACATAAAAGATGTTTACACATAGTCCACAAGACTAAATGTGACCTGTCCGCCTGGCAAAACGAGTCACAATGAGCACATTTTCAAAAATGAGTCATTTTTATTTTCACATTCTCCATTAAAAGACCTTCAAAACGATTTGTTGGAATCCGACGAAAAATGACTGAGCTACACCCGTTTGAAGTCAGTTCTAAGAAAAATCAAGTTGACGTTTTCTGAAGGTTCCAAAGCAAAACCACCTAGCAACGTTGCATTGTTTCCTCCACTTCCTTTCTTAAAATTAATTACCATATTAATAATCACAATATAGCCATTTTTTATTTTATCTTTGCTATTAAAAATAAGAACGGATGCAAAAAATCAACAACAGGAAACAAATAGGCCTAGTAGTGCATTAGCTACTTTTTTCATTTTACATCTAAACAAAAGCATTCAAGTATGAAAAACAAATAATCAAATGTAACGGCTGAAGCTGTGTTATGTGCACGATTCATATATCAGTCAGCAGCAGTGCAAGAAGCGAGCAGAGAAAAAGGTATCCTCTCAGAAAACGTACAAATAAAGATTTTAGATGTTTAATTATACTATTTGGAGCATTGGGATTGCTAGACTGTGTATTGCTGTAGCTCAAAATTAGCCCGTGCGCATTCTGACTCATTTTGCCAGCACGGGTCACAAATAAACTAATAGTAGAATTTATAAAAATGACCCTGTTCAAAAGTTTACACACCCTTGATTCTTAATTCTGTGTTGTTATCTGAATGATCCACAGCTGTTTTTTTTGTGTTTAGTGATAGTTGTTCACGAGTCCCTGTTTGTGCTGAACAGTTAAACTGCCTGCTGCTCTTCAGAAAAATCCTTCAGGTCCCACAAATTATTTGGTTTTCCAGCATCTCTCGCGTATTTGAACCCTTTCCAACAATGACTGTATGATTTTGAGATCCATCTTTTCACACTGAGGACAACTGAGGGATTCATATGCAACTATTACAGAAGGTTCAAACGCTCACTTGATGCTCCAGAAGGAAAAATTAAAGAATTTCTGGGACCTGAAGGATTTTTTCGGAAAACAGCAGGCAGTTTAACTGTTCAGCACAGACAAGGGACTTATCAACAACTATCAAAAAAAAGAAGAAGCTTCCGACTCATTTTGCCAGCACGGGTCACAAATAAACTAATAGTAGAATTTATAAAAATGACCCTGTTCAAAAGTTTACGTTGATTCTTAATTCTGTGTTGTTATCTGAATGATCCACAGCTGTTTTTTTTGTGTTTAGTGATAGTTGTTCACGAGTCCCTGTTTGTGCTGAACAGTTAAACTGCCTGCTGCTCTTCAGAAAAATCCTTCAGGTCCCACAAATTATTTGGTTTTCCAGCATCTCTCGCGTATTTGAACCCTTTCCAACAATGACTGTATGATTTTGAGATCCATCTTTTCACACTGAGGACAACTGAGGGATTCATATGCAACTATTACAGAAGGTTCAAACGCTCACTTGATGCTCCAGAAGGAAAAATTAAAGAATTTCTGGGACCTGAAGGATTTTTTCGGAAAACAGCAGGCAGTTTAACTGTTCAGCACAGACAAGGGACTTATCAACAACTATCAAAAAAAAGAAGAAGCTGTGAATCATCCAGGAAACAACACAGAATTAAGAATCAAGTGCATGTAAACTTTTGAAAAGGCCATTTTTATAAATTCCACTATTATTTTCTCTTGTGGACTGTAAACGTCTTTTATGTGAAATATCTTATTCAGTTCAGTAACATGATCTCTCTTATTTTGGTAAAATAATTAACATTTCACATATACTGTCCACCACAGTGACCCCTCAGTATGTGTGAAGTATCTTATGATGTTTGTGAATTTATGTAGAGGTCGCATATTGATTTAAATTTGTAACAGTGAAGGAGGAAGTGCACCTCTGTCTCGATCTCTCCTGTCCTACAGTGAGCACACACTCTTTGCTCTCTGGGTAACCAGCTCTTTTTGTGTCTGCCGGTCTCAAAAAATTATAGAAAAAAGGACATCTGTGCCAAACAGGAAAGGTCACCCCTAGAAATCCTTAACCTAACATATAAAATCTTACAGTGTATCCCCATTCATGTGATTTTGGGCACCTGTTTCACTGATAATTTTGCTTTGAATTTGCAGAAGAAGCACTGCCACATTTCCTGAACCTCATCGCATCTCTGCAGAGGTGACATTTACACAAATAATTCATTATTGCAGTAATAATGAATACCAGATTGTATAATTCCTTCCTCTATCAAATGCATCTGAAAATAAAATTAAACTCATTTAATGAAGGAAAGCAAGTATGTAAATACAGATAATAGTTCATGATATGCACAGTGACCTCCGGCTGTCAGAGCCGCACAGAACATTCAATTGAATTTGGTTCAGATCAGAGTAAACCCGTGGGTGGTAATCAAACTCAATAAGCACCGCTACATCATTCTGAGACCAGCCTCCACTAACACTCATGTCAAGATGATGGCCGGCCTTGTTCAGTAGTGCATGCACAAGATTGGCATTGAAATGAAGCGATCAACCTTTGATCCCTTATTAAAAACACCCATTGCTTTATCCAGAGTGCCAGCAGTTAAGCGCTCAGATACACTAACAGCCACATTATGATAAATAACTCTTCAAACTTCAGATAGCTGTAAACTCTTGACATTCCCAGTCACTTTCCGCAGGTGTAAGTGGGGCTGAGTTAACAGAGGGCATGTGTGCATATGAATAGAAATGCCAAAACATTTCATTTGAGAGTTTTGCATCTTCTGGCTCAGAGCCCGGGTTAAATTGCACAGTTCAGTAATTATGCATAAGAACTATGATTTACTATGGCAAACAATGAGCAGAGATTTGACTCAATTCATCGAGTTTCTGACAAGACTTTCACTAATGCTCTCTCGCGTGTGAAACAAAACCGGGACAAAATTATGTACATGATAATTTAGCCATCAACATGTCAAACTAATAATATGTCTGCTTTGATCATTATCTGCGGAGAAGTAACAGCTGTGCAAATTGAGCTGATTAGCCTACGTCTACATAATTTTGACTTATTTCAACAAATTACTGTTTGTCTTTTCTTGCTCCCTATAGTGACTGTGAGAGGTGTCACTAAAAACCGTCTGACAAAATATACGCTACCTTTCAAAAGTTTGGGGCCAGTAAGTTATTCTTTTTTTAATTTGAAAGAAATTAGTAGTTTTACTCAGCAAAGATGCATTAAACTGATCAAAAGTCACAGTAAAGACTTCACAAAAGACTTCTATTTCAAATAAATGTTGTTCTTTTGAACTTTCTATTCATCAAAGAATCCTGAAATGTATCAGTTTTCAAATAATAATAATCAGCACATCTGGTTTCAACATAATAATAATAATAAATGTTTCTTCATCAGCAAAACATCATATTGGAGTGATTTCTGAAGGATCATGTGAAACTGAAGACTTTAGCAATGATGCTGAAAATTCAGCTTTACATCACCAGAAATAACCTACATGTTAAAATATATTAAAATAGAATATATTTTTTTTCTTATTATTATTTTAATCAAATAAAGGCAGCCTTGGTGACAAGAGACTTCTTTAAAAAAACATTATACAATCTCACCTGCTTCTCTGAGTTGAATCGCAGTAGAATACATGTTTCTCTTATATAAAAAGACATTGTTCAATGCATTATACTATTGATTTGGTGATATTTCTCCAAAAACATTTCCCCTGGGATAAAGAGATGCGATCTCTGTAAAGGTCACTTCCTCAGAGTGAGAGTCAGACCGATTGTGAGTGATGACAGCAGTGAGGACTGGAGATAACACTAAATAATATGTGAACTTTAGGGTCATATAGACTAGGTCGAAAGGACATCCGCGCTCTCTCTTTCATCACCTTGAGCTTGTTCTGTGTTTTTCATAAAAACCTCTAAGGAAAGTATTCCCAGTGGACTAATGCTGTCATCGCAGAGATTGATCTATACATGTACAACTTTCCAACTTCTTTCATTTCTGTGAGTTGGGGTTTTTCCACTCGGAAATGTTTCATAGAATAGGGATAGATTTATTTAGTGATATAACACTTTTTAAATTATTTTTATTTGAAAGAAATTAATACCATTTTTTCAGCAAGGATGAATTAAATTGTTCAAAAGTGACAGAAAAGTCATTTATAATATAAAAACTTAAAAATAAATACTGTTCTTTGAACTTTCTGATCATCAAAGATTAAAGAAATATGTCATTGTCTTCCACAGACATATTAAATGAATACATTTATTGAGCAAGGATGCATTAAATTAATCAAAAGTGACAGAAAAGTGATTTATGATGTCAAAAAAACTATTTCAAATAAATGCTGTTCTTTTGAACTTTCTATTCATCAAAAAAAATAAAAATAAACATGTCACAGTTTCAACAGCAGCACAACTGTTTTGAACATTAAATATAATTAGAAATGTTTCTTGATAACCAAATCAGCATATTAGAATGATTCTGAAGGATCATGTGACACTGAAGACTGGAGTAATGATGATACATTTGTAATTATATTTGACTGTTTTTACTGTATTTTTGTTCAAATAAATGCATAAACATTTTACAGACCCCAAACTTTTAAGCTGTAGTGTGTGTGTGCATTTAATTCAATTTATAATTTTAAATCTATAATTATAGTATTTGATTGGTTGTTCTCAACTGGATTTGTTTAAAATTAAATGAATATAAAAGTAAAAAAAAAAAAAATGCTATTATAGGCTAATAGGAAAACTGACAATGTTGTAAATAAATAAAAGCAGAATGTACCAGCCAAACACATGGAACAAATACTGGACCAAACATTGCATTAGTATCATTGCCAAATGCCAGATGGGTTTGCACCAAAACAGTTTTGACATCAACAACAAAAGATATGGTAAACAATTTCTCATCCTTTTAAACAGTTAATACAATTACCGGTATTTATTTAGCTAGTTCTGCACCACTATACAGCTAGGTGCATTTTATTATTAGCATTTAGTATTACTTTTTTCCCCTCTTCTCACTGTGTGATCGTCCAAGAGCATGAGACTTACCTGAAGGCAGCATGCTGGCGGTGTGGCTGGTGATGGGCAGACAGTCTGCGGCTCCGGTGTGATGCATGAGCAGCGGCAGAGCAGCCGAGTCTCCGCTCAGAGTAGTGAAGGAATCGGTGGTGCTGAAGGCCTGGCAGGTCATGACTCTAGATGTTCACCTACTCAGGGTCCCACCTGTGTGCCACGAGCAGGGCGTGTGCAGGTATTTATACTGAGCCCCCTCAGACCCCCTCATCCATGTTAATGAGCTCTTGCTGTTAGCAAACCATGACGGCCCGCTGAGGCAAAGCTCTGGTAATTAGGGCAAAGAGGTGCAATATGATACTGTCCATTTCCACTGTGTGTGGCTTCCAACACACACCAGCGACAGCTCTGACAAACCACGGCTCATGGGACTTAAGATTAATTAGCCATTTCAGGATGTGTTTACATTTAGATACATTTTAGATGCAATGAGGGAGGGAGTCTGATTACATAAATATGAAGTTATCATTGAAAATATGATGGAAAAAAATTAGGATTTATTATGAGTGCACGAGTATTAAAAAAAGCTACATGGTATTACTAATTTTAAAGTATTAAACCATGGTATAGTAATAAAGAATTCTGAGAAGCACATTAATTTATTAATTATATTATATTTATATTAAAAACCATGGCATATTTTTTTATTCAACATCAAGATTTTAAATTAAAATTACACATACATACGGTGTTAGCCAAAACAACGATTTGTTGTTTCTTTACATGATTTTTATACATATTTAATTACATTTGATTGTGTTTCATAGCTATTTTACAGTTAAAATTTTTATGAAGGTCTGTAATATAGTTGTGCTAATGGGGCATGTTGTCCAAAAAAAAGGTCAAAGTGTGATCAATTAATATTTTAATCCTATTTTCTCTGCACCGATGGTGAAATTATTATTATTATTATTATTTTTTTTTTTTAAGTTTCGCCTTCACTAGTTCTAAAAGAAACTATACAAATATGATTTATTACAAATAAAGCACAAATATTTAATGTATTTTCTAAATTAATGTGAGGTCATAAAAAGTGTATGCAGATTAATATAGAAGAGCTGAAGCATTAATTTTAGATTGACTAAAGCATTTCAAACTGCTGATGAATTGTAGATTGTCAAACTGCTTTACAAATCATGTTAAAGAATTTCTTTAAAAACTGTAATAAACATGAGTGAGCTGCGCTAATGGGGCATGATGTCACAAAAGGTCAATGTGTGATCAATAAATATTTTAATCTTATTTTCTAAGCACCAAGAGTGTAATTATTATTATTATTATTGTTGTTGTTGTTCTTTTTTAAGACTTCAAAATACATGCCTAATTCTCACAATTTTTCATGACTAAACAGCCTCCACGTAATTTAAAAAAAAAAGAAACTGTACTTTGACGAATACGTTTGTAAAAGCACAAATATTTCATGTAGTTTCTCAATTAACATGAGGTCATAAAATGAATGATTACAGAGGAGCTGAAACTTTTACAATTTTTGATTAATTAAATCATGAGCGAGCTGATGTTTAACTTAAACTTCTCAAAATACTGCTGTCAGCATGATATATTTGTGATACATTTATTCTCTTGACAGCAGAACAACGTCTCATTTAGTTTAGTGAAACATGATTTGGCTTGATTCCACACGAGTGTGAATGTTTACTTGACCGGTGTGTTGCTGGCCATCTGGTCGCTGGACAATTAGTTTGTGTTGCGTGTGTTCTGGCACATTCATGTGTTTGTTAAAATAAGCTCCAAAAGCCCTAGTCTTGAGACAGAGATGTTGTGACTTGCTTTATTTGTGATCATCTAAATCACTCTGCCTAGCTGAGCAGGTGCCCATCTGCATGGTCAGGTACAGCACAATAGTTCACTTCAACACAACACTGGGAGTCTTTGTGTCTGTGCCGGAATGACAAATTAATCGCCTGAAGACTATTCTCCCTTTGCATACTGAGGAGGATGTGGTGAATATTTCTCATCAGAGTTGTAAATTGTTGTATTGCAGTCTGTATGTTTTCTTTCCTTTCTTCAGGCATCTCACACACAATGGCTGATTAATAAATTATTAAGGTCTTAATCATGGATTTGAGTGATGAAAATGCACCACTATGCACCCATGTCTAGGTTTACATGTAATAGTTACATGTCTAGGTTTACATGTAATGTAATAGTTACTTTTTTAGGGAGTTACGCAATATTGTAATGCATTATCACTTTTAAAAGTAATTTCCCCCAACACTGGTAACAAAACTTCCTAGATTGTCTATAAAAGCCTATAGACTGATTTTTATGTAAAGGAGTCAGGTAAATCAAAACGAAGTGACGTTTATGCACGCTCCCGTAAGAACTCTCTTCCAAGAGCTTCTTGTTCTTTACTGTAATGTCAGTGTGTCATACAAAGAAAAGTTCATTCAAACTATAGTCTCACACAGCCATTTCCATATAATCAAAAATATAGTATAGTCAAACATAACAGAGTAATTTTAATTAGCCTAACCTTAACTGTACATGATGCGGTGAATTGCAGAGCTCGTTCAAACATATCCACATTCCTATGATCAAATGCTTTCTTAACTGCTGCTTTCTCAGCATTGTAATTTTTGTTGTTTATTTCATTATTGAGAGGAAAGCGCACAGCACATATCTGCATATTCATCTAAACGCCATTCTCCGAAGCGTGGATGGCTACTGGATGTTCGTTAACAGTATGCATCTTCTTTTTACTTCTAATCAAAGAACAAAAAGAACTTGGCTGTGAGTATATCAGTGTACTGATTTTTTTTTTATCAGTGTACTGAATTACGTTGAACTCCTTGTATGTTACGTGTGAGCAAGTGCTAGCACGAGAAAGTAAGTTGCTGGCTGCAGTTCACTTAATGGCCACCGGTGTTGCTAATAACAAGTGTTTCTGAATTCTACATGTAGATAGGGCCCTATGATTTCCGCGATGCGGAAAACGTGGACAGAATCGTTGAATCCAGTCATAAAAATTTAATTTACAGTTTAACACGGAATATCACGGAATTCATTAAAAGTACATTATTACACTTCAATCAAATCGCGATATGGACTAGTATCTGTAAATATTAAGCCACAAAAAAGCATTTTAAATATGAATCATTCATGTTCTGCGTGTCTCTGCGTGAATAAATGACGCAGACACGCGGTTTTGTTTACTACACACATACTGAAGCACGTGTGACGCTCGCGGTGATTTCAGCATCTGCCATCTCTCTAAATGAGGACATAAATACATGAACAACATCTCCAGAACTGCCCTGAGAGTCACTTCATGAGCATTTTACCATTTCATTTGAGTAAAATTAGCATCATATCATATTAACACAGAAATGTAAATGTATGCACGGCAACCCGTCAAAATAAAAGTTCAGTTTAACTTGAAGATATTGTGGCAGACATATATTACTATAATTCAATATAATGTAAGTAATACTACTACTACCTACAACTGTTGAAAAATTAATAAAACTTTATTTTTTAATAAAGTTTTTTTTTATAGTTTTAATTTGACTAGAAAATCCCATTTATTGGCCAAAAAATAACATTTGTTTAATTTTCATGTTTTATGCCTTTATTTGATAACCAGAAAAATGTAAAAGCATAACACAGAATTTCACAAGGCTATTGTAAGAATAAATAAATAAATGTTTTTAGGCATTCAAATGAATGATGAATTCATTGAATGAAGGACGTGAAAAAAAGGTGTGAAAAAATAAAACATTTCATAGGGCCCTAAACATGTAGTTTTTGTTAAACTTTTAATAAACTGATGTTAAATTTTTAATTAAAACTATGAATCATATATTAGACATGCTTTTTAGTTAATACAATTCAATGTAACCATTAAAAATTAGTCTAGAAAAATAAAAACAGAATCCAGAAAAATTTAAATGGAAAAAACGGAATTTGGAAAAAATTTAATGGAATTTGGGAAAAAATAAAGCGGATTTCATAGGGCCCTATATAGCCCATTTAATACTACTAACTGAAATATACAGTTTTAACACTAATAGTAACACACTTACTGTAATATAATTTGTTACACGCACACAAAAATTGGTTCTTTAGTGGTTCTCCAGTGGTTCTTTGGGGTGGTCTTCCACACAAAGAACCCATTAAGCCCCTGTACAGTTCTTTAAAGGTTCTCTAACGCTCTCTTATTCTCTGGAATTGAGGAAAGGATTAAAAAGAACATTAAAATACAGTGTATTTCCTGAAGATAACATGGTTCTCAGCCTTTTTGCCTCCAAGGCCCCCAATAAGGAAATACTCCAGGGCCCCCACACGAGACGTTTTGACCTCAGAAAAGCATAAAAGTGATTCAAAACAGCTTTTGCCATTGTAGTAAATTCCCATTCATAGCAAACATACTGCATGAGAGTGGAGTAACATATCTGGAATCTGAGGAGGAGAATGGGGTTCCTCTTACATAGCACCATTTGACAAAGGTGCTATTAAAGTGGTTCCCCTATAAGCCAATGAACCACTTTTACTGCTATTTAGCGCCATGTAGTCTACATAGTCTAACTTGCAATCGCAACTAGTTCCAATCTAATCAGAAGAGTCAGAAGATTTTTTGATGCAATCAAATTATAAAAACTGTTGTATTTTTCTAAGGGCCACCACAAAGGTCATATTTTTTGGGATCAACCTATGAATGGCTTAAACTCTGCACATATGCAGAAAAAAATATTTTAACACCAAAATAATGGCATATTTGACCATTAACAGTTTGATGAAAGAATCAATGACTGAAATTCTAAATGAATGCAGTATTATAAAGTAATTAAGCAGCTATGAAATTAATCATTATTATTAAAAATGAAGTATTATTATTAACAATACATCAGTCTGATTTGTAACTGCAGCAAGCCCTGCAGTATGTAATGTGGCGGCAGCTTCTAATCCTCCGGCCTGTCAAAGGAAGTGACCAATAGAGGTGAGTGCAACACATGTCCCAAGTGAGTTAGTGTCTGCTCTTAAAATAACCCCTATTGTAGCTACAAGCTTCTGTTGTGATGGAGGGTGTAGCAGAGAGATAGATGAAGAGAGAGAGAGAGAGAAAAGGGAAGCCCAGTAAAAACAGGCTTCAAGCACAGG